AACTGGATCAACCCTCCTTCAGGGGAGCTCTTTGTGGTACGTGACACCCAGGACTTGTACTTCTCTGGTATGTCTCCCACCAGCTCACCTCTCTCCCCTGCCACCCTAGAGCTCCTTCTTTTCAACCAGGCAGACTGCAACACTCAGGGAAATATAAGGCAGTAACAGTTGGTAATTTTTTACGACTGACTTTTTAATGGAACCTACTGCAAACAGCGGTGTTGGAGAGCGATGGTACTGAAGAGCTAAGCAAATGTGCATTAATTTGGATAGCACTGAATGAACTGTGTTGACTTTACAGATTTTTATTATTTTAACAATTTAGGTCATCAAATACACTCTGAATATCACCTGCTAAAGTGGAAAAAAATTAAGCCAGGTGTGATGATACCAAGAGGAGAATACATGGTAGAGACTATAGTCCAGTAACATGGCATTACGTACCCGAGATGGGCTCTCACCAGGGGAAATTTCCAAAACGTGGGTATCTTCTAAGTATCTGAATCACACACATCCTTCTTACTAACTGCACACTGTAATTGTGTACGGATGTGATCTCTCCCAGCTAATGCAAGTCACTTTGGAAAAATCTATCCCTTATTTCATATAGACCAGAACATGCCCCAAGATGCTGAAGTGCTATGAAAAAAACTAAATAAAACGGGCACCCTCAGCCACACTGGCTCTCTCTGGAAGAAAAAGATAATTTGGAAAGCCTCTCAATCACCATGTAAAGCAGGAGTATTCTATCATCTGCCAACAGAATCCAAGGAGAATAATTTTATTTGGGTTGTAGTTCCCACTTGTGAAAGGCTAACTTTAGTTAGCTTGTTTTCCATGGGGGTATTTGCTCTGACTCGGTTTCCACTGATGTTTTGAGCAGTACCCAAGTGGAAAATAGAATTAACATGCTGAGCGAGCTTTACTCCTCTTTAATTTGTTATTGCTGTCATTAAGAGTCTTTTATTTTACTTTGGCTAATTATTACAGGAATAGCAATAGAAATGTTGTAAATTTGCAAGTTGATTGTTTCGTGATACAGTTTTTCCATGGGGCATTTTTTTTTTTTTTTCATTTATCATGGAGGAGTCCAGAGAGTGCTGGAACCTAGAGGCATTAGTAAATCAAAGAAACTCAGTAACACTCGTGCTGTTTAGAAAGGGATATAAATGAAGTTTTTTTCTAGTTTGATATATGAGAATTAGCAAAGCAGATGAAAATTCAGAACCAGTTGGTAGACATCAGGGAACAGACTATTACTTACAGATTCATCTACCGAGAAAGCATGAGCTTTAGAAATATGTTATTAACAGAACTTATTTTCTGTGTGCACAGTACTTCACTAACAGCAAGGTTTCTCCTTGCCCCTTCTGTCTTTACTGCTCAATGACATCAACAAAAATATTGCTCTTAACTGCCAAGTTAACCATCTACCTATGAATTTTATACAAAGTCAAAAAAAGTACACCAAACAGTACGTGTTCAAACCCTTTTAGTAAATGTGGAAGACTGAACCATCTTCAGGTTCCAGCCCAACTATATAAATGTAACTCAAACTGACTGCTTAGGTTTAAAAACCTATTTAGTAAGGCCTCCTGCAAATTTCTCTGCAGTGGTCGTAACATTAAGTGCCAGCTTTGCTCTACATTACTCCTCCTCATCTGTCTTTTAACTGGATGTCTTTCACCAGCATTAACATCTGCCAATGCCTGTATAAACAGAATAGCATAAAATCTCTTTGGTATGTCCTTCAAAATGTGAGATATGCCTGCGATTTTCTTTTTGGTTGCTTTAGAAAACTCTTAAAATGCCATTATGTAGTCAATCAACATTGCAAAAGCAGCAGCAAATTGTACCCTCAAATCTGGTTTCTAAAAATAAAATCATAATTAAGACCTTAGTTTTTACATGAGCCTTCAGTTTCAACTCTTGATCTTCCAATTCCTCTTCCGGGAAGGGTGTGGGCTTTTCCTATTTCTTCCAGAAAAGTCTATCACAGCTGTGACACACCACCAACCTTGGTAAACACACTGCTGCATTTTTTTCTTCATATAATTTAAACCAGTGATAGAAGATGTTAAGTGTCATTACTACGGGGAACTTAAGGCACTACTACACAGATGACAAAGAAACATCCTTAAAAAAAACCAAAACTTAAAAACTTTCTAGCAACTTACAGCTTCTAACCAAACAAAGGTATCTCCCAAACCAGTTTTCCAAATCCTCTGCAGAGCTTTGCTTTGATCTATATCACAGAAGCTCGATCTATCTCGTTACAGCACACCGCACAGGACACAATTTAGGTCAAACCAAAGGTGCACACAGAAAAAATCCTATCAGAGACCCCAGCATGTTGCACACTGAAGAGACATTCAGAAATGAAGGACCAGGAATTTCCAAGTTTGTCCTTCTCGCTCAGCTGCTCTCTGATGGGAAGAATCAGGAAGGCAGTTTTACAGTTTAGCTAGCTAAACAGGTAAAAGCACTGTGGAAAACAAGGGAAATTAAATAAGCAACGTTCATAAAAAGGGGAAGACCCCTGTAGTTTAGCTTTTAAATAATAAGTGGAGCTGTGAGCATCCACTCTCTTTTCAGTTGGGGTTATTTATCTTCAAGTACGTAGGCTTTGGGCACAGATTTACAAGCAGAAGGTAGGTGAACCTTCAGGCTGATCTGAATATTAAAAGAACTTTTATGAATCACTAGTCAATCTTAACACCTCTGACCTTGAGCTAAGTGTAATATAAATTAATTAGGTATGAATAAAGATTGATAATTGATAGCTGAAAATATTCCTTGTCAAAAAGATAACTATCAAATTGCACATCAAAAACATCTATACGTTCAACACTGTTTAGAACTCCTGAAATTTGTTGTTAAGCACGACAAAACATGCTTTCTCAACAACAAAAATACAGCTATAGTGTTTTTTCTAAATGATTCTCCATTCAATAAAGTGTAAAAATTTCCAAATGTCTCCATTATGGGTACGAATATGAGCATATATAGGTGTATATAAATACTAGATACATACACATACACACCACTTCCATAATTCTGCCAAAATCTACCGTGCAGATCCCTTGGTTTTGCAAATGAAGAATCTTTCCCATTAAATGTGTAGTTGTCACCTATAATTTTGGGCAGATAAACATTTATCCTCTCAGAAAACTATCACCACGTATTTGTTCACCCGCTACTGTTTCCAAATTTCATAGAATTAATTTATAAAGCAAATTAAGAGTCCTGAATATTGTTGATGCTGAAGAAAAAGCTTTTCTCTTCATGCATGTGAAATCACACACCTTAAGTAAGGCATCATAGTATAATTTCATATTACTTCATGTATCTGACCATGGATCTGAAATTACCAGTCTTTGTATTTTTTTTATATCCTCCTAGACATGCATCATAGACTGAACCAGATTTTTTCGCATGCTTTAGCAGTTCTCCATTAGCAGTAACAACTAACTCACGTGGTTTAAGGCCTGTAACAACCCTTTGTCTGTACTGATCTTATTGCATCTGCATCCCGCTCCTGCCACGCCTGCAAATCAAGCACACTCTGGCCAGTGCTGATCACTGAAGCAAAGCTCACACTCGCACGCAGTTTGGCACGCTTCTGAAGAATAATCTGCATGTACAACATTTAAAATGAAAGCAGGAATAAGGAGACAAGGAGCAGTCTAGGACTGCACACTCTGAAACGGAGCCAGCAGCAAACAGCTCTGCTATCGTGCAGACAAGAAACAGAAGAGGGAGAATGCGTGAAGCGGAGAGTAGCCAAGAACCAGCAGGGTTTGCTGTCTGCAGGAGAAACTGCATCTGCCCACACCAGCAAGCGGGAAGAAGAGGGGAGAGATGGGGAAAACAGACCTCAAAGAGCAGCAGGTAAATAAACACCAAATCTGAATTTCAAATCTGGCAAGAACATAGCATTTTGCTATTTCTTAGTCAGGAAAAAAAGAAAAAAAGATATTGTCATGTAAGGAGTTGCAACTAAGATGATAAATACTGTGAGGCAGACCAACTCAATTTGTATCAGCTGGTCTAACGGACAAGTACTGTCAGGTAAGTGACATTCAGGCTCTCGACAATTCTTTCTTTTCTCAATACAGGAGCGCACACTAAAGCAATAAAACTATGACTATCCTAGTTGTTAAAAAATATTAAGAAAATCCACACATGAATGACTGACAAATCTGCATGATTTTCATCACTCTCCCCAGGAAGAAAATAGCCCAGATAAGGATGATACTGTTTGCTTTCCATGGCAATGAGTTGTAGCTGTTTCATTAAACAGGTCAGACGTCAAGAGTCTATGCTCCAATAGGCGAGTACAGAAGAAACTGTAGCCACAAATAAATGAGCCATCACTTGATAGAATTTCCAATTACACAGAAAACAAGGAAACCAGCAACTGCATTATATACCACACTTCATTTATTTAGATAAACCTAACTGAAATGTGATACACTTCTATAATTAAGAACTTGTAATAAAAATAAAGTCTTGGTTGCTGCAATCCTGCAGTTGGAATTCCAAAACTTATTCCTACTTCGATTTTCCAGCTGCTGTTGAGGTATACCGGCACGTGGTTTAGCTTGTTCTTTCCTAAGGAAAAAAAAAAAAAAGCACAAGGATTTTGCCAGTTGGAGAATAAAACAATACTGAGAGATCATATTTACTGTTCCTCACAGCAAGACTTTTACCTGACTTTTCTCACCTAGCAGTCTCACGTAACCCAAAGTCATCCTTCTTGCCTTCCCCACATCATGTGAAACACAGCAGAATCTGACTTTGCTATCAGTCTCCATATCCCAGTTCAAAAGGACCTGAACAGCATTCTCTGAATTCCAGGTAAATTTTAATATTCTTGTGTGTGCATATACATATACAAATCCAAGAGTTTACCATCTTTTTATATTTAGAAATAGTTATTGATAGTCAAACCTCACATTTACATTTAACATTTCCCCAAAGTCATGTGCACAGAATTTTCACTGCAGGCTGTAGGTCTGCTGCGTGTCTTTCACTGAAAGGGTTATAAAGAGGGACCGTGGATCCTTTCTGTTCTTGCGGACTGTTATCTTTCCTCTCAGGGCCTCTCCTGCAAAAGTAAAAATGAAATTACTATGCTTATTTTACTGAATCATGCACAGTAACAGCAAAGCTGCATTACATACCCTTTGCTTGCATGAGAAGGTGTTCCAAATTAAACAAACAAGCCTTTCTATTTCCAAAGCTTTAAGCAAGGTCTTCACAACAAATATTAGCCAAACGAACTGCAGTTAAACCTGGTGAGGTGCTGAATTATGTCTGATGCTTTACTCCTCACAAGACCCACCCATAGAGCTGATAGGCCAATTATTTCATTTGTGGCTGGGGAAAACCACTGTATTCCTCGGATACATTAACCCGCCTTTGTGTCTGGTCGAGTTGGAGCTGCACATCACCACCCAGCACTTCCAGGCACATCCAAGTCTCAGCTGGACAGGTACTGAGTGCCATTGGACCAGTCCATTTCATCATCACGCAAACATATCAGCAGATAAGATGGGAAAAGCTATGTAACCTTCCGAAACTTTATCCAGCACGACGTGAAGGGACAAGGAACTCATTTCTCCATAGGCACAGCTGTTAACTTCCCCCCCCATCTAAGATCCTTATAATAAGATCACAGAAAACAAGATTTACAGATATTAGGAGCTCCATATTCACACTGTATAAATTTAAGACAAAATTTAAATATTTCCATCCATCACACAAGAGTCACATAAACTGAAATCCACAGCCAACTCCAACTAGTCGTGGGGCTGACTATTTGCACCAGCCCTGTCCACTGTAATTCCTTTTCTATCTCACTGTATCTAAAGTATTTCCCAGCTGTTCATTACTTACTGTGATAATTTTCAATATTCTTATTGTGAAAATGAAAACAAATAGCAACTCAAAAACTAAGCTGGTTTCAAATTCAGTAAGAATTTAAGAATTCTCCATTGGCACAATTGCCAGTTGCATCCACAAACACTAAACTGACACAAGATCCACATTACAAATAATAAACACGGGACATTTTGTCAAAAGCTGTAGTATAAATATCAAAGAAAGTTTTTCAACAAGAACAACTGTGCACAAAATACCAAAAAAGTATACTTGCTCTTTGATGATTTTGTATTTTTTTTTTCATAATTTAACAGTGAGTTGGATATTCCACTTCTATTCCTGTGCGGCTTTATTATCACATCACAAATGACTGACATAATACAATGTGATTTCCAAAGAATCGTGGAAATGGTTTTGCAGATTATTTCAACAGAGACAGATTTGCCACGTAGAAGAAAAAGGTGAAGAAGAAAGGGCATTATAGCTTCTCACCAGCCCTTAAATTTAACATAGTTCGAATATACAGATTTTCAGAACGGCCACAAAACTAATTACTTGACATATTTTAATATCCTATAAGTATTTTAAAAAAATTCAACACAACTAAAGAGCCTCTGAGAGCTAAAACTCCACTATTTAAATTAAACCATACTTTTACAATTTCAATCATTAACACAAAGCAATACAATAAACGGAGAAAAAAAATCTAGATATAATTTCATAAATTACAGCAAATTTCATAGAACAGAACCCTCACATTCTCTTTGTAAAGGCAGCAAATGAAACGCAGCATTCCATTTTTCTCAGCTATTGCTTATGCAGTAACCACATGAAATGTGCCTTTCTGAACAGCCTTTTCTAAGGGCCAAAGCAAACAACAGCAGTGAAAGCAAGTAACAGAAAGGCAGTTCTGAACAATTAATCAATGTCACATAGATAAAAATGATTGACGTTTTTTCACCGTTCTGCTGTGCTACGAGCTGCCCGGAGGAAGCTGTCTCTGGGACTCAGCTGCATCACCTTGCTTTTATCACGCTCAACTGAATGCAAGTAAAGCACACCCAGTGCCACTGCAGTTTGATTAGGACAGAACTGAATCCATTACAATCCCCTTCCTGCATTATTATCCCTTGGGGAGTCCCGAAATTTGTTCCCAAAAAGAAAAAAAACACCCCAAACCATAAACAAACCAACAAAAGGATCCAGCTGAAGTGCTGCGCAAGTTTGTGAGCACAGGAAAAAACTGTGTTTCTAGGTCTGTACTGACCCACCGCCAGATAACATACGCTGGATGCCATGCTCTGCAGGGCACCCAAACACGTGCTCTGAGCACGCTGACTTTTACCAGCAACTGCATCTTCCACTTACATTTGTGCAATACAAGCACACACCGGGGGAAGCCTGCAGGCTGTGAGCGAAGATACCTCCGAGTGCAAGAGCCCTATCAGATCACTAAGAGTGCTTAGGACCAACAAATTGTATTTTTTCAGTCTAGAACTTGACTCATTCAAAAGGATTTGAGCAAACCCAAAGATTCCATGCAGTCTCTCTTGCGTAGATATCCATAACATCTACTTTGAGCTCAAAATGATCCTTGGCAATGAACCTGTAACAGGAATAACTACCCTGCCTTTCAGTACAACTTGGTGTCCCCTCCTTATTTGATTATAAAAAAACTGAGTTACTGAAGGTAGCAAGCAAACAGGATCTTTCAGATTTCCCTCTTTTCTTCCTATGGAAGGGTTTTGTGAAGCCAGTAGTGAGACAACTAAGAACATGGCACTCAAAGCATTTGTTATTCTGATTCCACCAAAATTTAAGAACCTTATAAAAGATCTTGCTGGAATTGTTTCTAAGATAACTGCAGTGGATTGGGGCTAAAAACACCCTAGCAAACTGCTTGTGAGAAATACCAACACCGTTAAGAACCACAAGCTTGCAAGTAGTAGTCATATGGGCTTTCACAATCACACAACTCTAAGCTTTGACACAGCTCTTCACAGTAAGGTTGTCCTCACTCGAGGCTGACAATTTAAATATTACTGAGTTTTCCACTCTAGTTTAGACTAACTGAACCCACTATCTTATGCAACACTCTGGAAGAGTTGGCTATTAAATAGTTTCCATATTACCATCTATCTTCTGAAAAGGAAAAAGAACAACGAAAGGCAGAAATCATTTGTGGTAGGACCAAGAACATTTCCCCTAAACTCAGTAACTTATACTTAGTCCTCCCATCCATCTTCCTGAAATGCAGGCACCTGTCCCTGTACACATCTTCCCACTTGGCCACGTCTCTCATCAAATCCCCAACCCAATGAGACCCAACGAGCAGTCTTCTGTGCCGAGCGGTAATCGCTGTCTTTCGGTATCATCCATCTGATCTGTCACACCCTTCTTCCACCACTGTTATAAATGAAGGAGCTGTCTGCCAACTCTTGTCTGTTCCATCATGGTTTGCCCTCTTCTGAAACAATGCTGAGGTTCCGTCTTTTCCTTTCATGCTCCCAGTATATCCTCTGAAGAGTTCTTGTACCAAACTGGCACGTTCCAACTTCCCAAGACAAACTATGAACTAGGTTGCTGAAAAGAATTCTACACAACCAGTCAAGTAAGGTCAGACAGCCTTGTGTGGCTGCCTAAGATAACGTGCACACACGACAAGTTACCAAGATTGCTCAGGTACCAGAAATAGTTGCCACAAAGAATGGTGAAGGCCAGACAAAGAATCCTCCAAAATATACAGTTGCAGTAGCCAAACTCACTCACCTGGAACTAGTCTTATAATTCGCTACTCTTTGTGAGTAGAGATTCTAAACTGTATAGCACCATCCCAAGTTTTCCCTCTCAGCAGCTGTGACGAAATTCTGAGAAAACGAGATGGTCGTTGCTGTATGAGCCCTTGCAGTTGCAGAACTTGCAAATTCCACTCAATTTTCCCTGCCTAGATACAGAACTTGTATTATCTTTTAACAAGATAAAAAAGCCATGGGAAAAGATTCTCTCAATTAAGTGCCTGAAACACACAATGTTTTCAGAAAGTCAGCAGGGTGATTTTAATCTGGAGATTTCAAAAGATACAGCATAAAACATGCAAGATTTAGTGTGACCTCAAAATTCAAGTTTTGACAATTACTAGATTCTAAAAGCGAGAATAATTTTTGGAGGTCTCACTTGTAAATAAACAAGTGACAGCATTCTATAGACACCATGTTGCAGCTGGAGACAGGCAAAGCAGGCACTAAAATCTCCATTAGGAATAAAATTATCCAATTGGGATGAGCAATACTGAAGTATTTCAGTATAAGATCAAAACATTTAGACGGATTAATTGTGCCAGTGTTGTTTTCCCGCTTTTAACAAAGCTCTCTAGGTTGACAAATTAACATTTTTCAGTCTGTAAATTTACAAACAGCTACCCAACTTTGGAGACAGGGGAGTTAAAGATAATCAATGATTGTACAGGGGCTGAGTCATGTGTGTTCTACTTAATTTTTGCTGTGTTATCCTTTTAGCACCACAGAAAAACAAAGCAGGGTTTTATTTCCACTGCAAGTCAACACCAAGAACACAAAATCCCGACAATATGCTGCTTTACTGCTAAGATAATTTCCTTGCATGCAGATCCAGTTTCTCACTTAATGCACTGTTATCGAAAAGATTGCCATCCCTTTAAAATAATTTCCGTAAACATTTTGTTTATTTAGTAAATACTTGAGACAATCAAGCAAGAAGGATATTCTGTACATAATTTTTTGTTTGTGAAGTCTAGCAGCAATATTTCAGTAAACAACGAAAGACTTACATTTGAACTATTAATAAGAAAGAGATCCTGCTATGGCATCTCAATTTGAATTTTCAAAACAAAAACATTTCCAAGCTATTAAAAGGGCTGCTAAATGAAGCCGTTACTCTGTAGCGAGTCTACAACCCAATACTCTTTTCTGAGAAAACTCTGTTTTTCTGGCAATAAAATACCATTTGGCTTCTTTTTCCAGTTTAATTTTACTACTTGCTAAGCAGTTAAAGCACATCCACCACAGTGATAGAATTTTGTTTCACTGTACATCAGCTTCAAGTCTCTCATCACAATCCACGAGGAGGGAAAATTAGCTTCTCAGAAAACACGAATACTAAGAAACTACTCCCCACTCACACACTAAATCTAAACTAAATCAACAGAAATTATCCCTTAAAACTATATACAAAGCTGTCTACCACAGTGAGGCATCCAACTGAAATTTAGTGGCAGATCATAAGCATTTATTACATGTAAGTTTTAGTGCCTCACTCTCCAGATCTTTGGACGTGGGTGACCCTTCTCCCCGTTCATCCCAGAGAATCTGCACACCCGGCATGCCCAGCACAGGCTGCAGCAACAACGGCAAAGGACAGAGGATTAGTTGCAAGCCCCATCCTTTAGCTTGCAATGGCTCGATTCTGTTATCCTTAGAACAGAGATCAAAACATTCAGTCTTTTTTATGGCTGAGAAAATAGATCTATTTTTACAACAAATCACTTGGCATCAAACAGCTGAGAAAATTAGCTAGTTCACACTGCAGAACAAAACAGTTTTGCCACGGCATAAAGAGGCCTTTTCTTGTTAAAACCCCAACAGGCTCAGTTATCGGTTAAGCTCAACCTCTTTTACAGAGCAAATCCAAATACAATCAGTGCTGCAGAACCACTTCAGGCATATTCCCCAAAGCTATAAAACATCCGATAGATTTTAAGTCAGCTTTACTATCCTACTCAGAAATCTGAGGAAACCATTTTTCTTTACTCAAGAAAAAAACCCCACCACCTCATCTGAAATACACATTCAAATAAGAAAACTTTTAAATACATTTTATACAACCAAATTCCTCTTCCATAACCTATTAAAATAATGAAAGCAAATGCCACCATGGCAGATTATTGCAAGACTTAAAACATATTATTTCTACATATTTTCCAATATTTACTAAGGAAAAAGTTTATCCTGACTCAAACAAGGTTGCAGACATCATCTAGATGGGCAAGGTGGGTGTTGGTCGCTTTTCACAGGTAACAAGTGATAGGACAAGAGAAAATGGCCTCAATTTGTGTCAAGGGAGGTTAAGATTGGATATTAGGAAAAAATTCTTCACCAGAAGGATTGTCAAGCACTGGAAAACGCTGCCCAGGGAAGTGGTGGAGTCATCATCCCTGGAGGGATTGAAAAGATGTGTAGATGTTGTGCTTAGGGACATGGTTCAGTGGTGGCCTTGGCACTGCTGGGTTAATGGTCAGACTTGGTGACCTCAAAGGTCTTTCCCAACCTAAATGATCCTGCTATTCAACGACGCCTGCTATTTCTGATACAGGCCAGGACACCTTCTTGGCTACCCGGGCACACTGCTGCCTCACGCCCAGCCAGCTGTCAACCAACCCCCATCCCCAGGTCCTTTTCCACCGGACAGCTCTCCAGCCCCC